ATGTTTGAGTGTCATTCATGTCGCTTGGGCATGAGTAATTATTAATTTCTAATTGTTTATTATTAATTTCATTTAATTTAATTGTCATTTTATCTCTTATAATACGAAATATCGTATGTATATTCTCACACACTTTATGTTATTTTTCTCATTTTTCCTTCTCCATGGTATAGACACACTGAAGATGGGAAAAGAGTTTCGTGAAAGTTAACTTTCAGTATGTCGTTTAAAGAGGGAATTTTTGTGCAAAATTGTTAAAAGAGAGTTTCGTTATTTTAATAAATGTTAAAATCGTGACCAAATAAGAATCAATACACTTCATGGTATGTCTTGTGCTTATTTTTTTCACACGAAAGATACTTTATCACTCTGCATTTGTGCTACTACTAGACCTTGCTAAGTCCCTGGGAGCGAGTAACCTTTCCTGTTGGCAGCATTCGATTTACAGTGTTGACCGGACATCGTGAGGACACCTCTGGGGCTTTCCGAATTTGATAGTAGCTGCATTTGGTCTTGCAATAATTATAAGAGAGGACGTTTCACAAGAAAAATAGCTTTGCTCGCGAAATACATATTAGAGCTGTGCTCTCACTGATATTTCACTTTCCAATGTAGAAGCTACATATAAGGCAAAGATGAAATGATATCTTTTAGAGGTGAAATGGTAAAGACACTAGAGAATACGAGTTTTACAGAAGTAAGCAATTCCGAACGAATATATTGGGAAGTATTGTAAACGAAGTTTAAAATGTGTAAATTTTGAAGTTCTTTGTCTTCGTGCCCGAAGTGTTTTTGTCCGGCAATTCAAACATGAATTCACTCGCATGTAAATTATTTAAATTAAAACGATTTGTGAAGTACAAATAATTATTTCTATAAAAAAGGAATTGTGTGAATTTTTTTACCAATACGCCTTATAAAAATATGGTTTATGCAAACTGTTGTGTTCATTAATCAGTGTTCAGTTGTTCGGAAAAGACATAGGAAATGGGCATTATCATATAAAAAGTGAAGGATAATGTAAAACCACAATAATATATCAAAACAATATTCCCATTCCTCCACTATTTCATTTCATCAAAAAAGACCTCCGCGATCATAACGAACAAAATAAAATCATTACGAACATAAAGTTTCCGTAAACCAAGGTGCCTTAGAAACAACAAAAATCATGTTAAAAGTTTAAATTGCAAATAGGAATAGACTTTTTAACTCTGAAAATTCACATTTCACCCCAAAACTGCGATTGCCTATAACACAATATTAAAAACAAAATTATATGTATGATAAAATATCCGGAGAAAATAATTATCCTAAATCAGTTCCGCTTTTCCTATCACTTTTTTCATCCACCGACTCAATTTCTACAGTTACAGAATAACGCATATTAGACGTTGGACGTTATTCAGATCGGGGCAAAAATTGACTGCATGCAAGTTTCTCAAAATTATCGTACGTTCATCTAAATGAAATTAGGTTCATAAAGGCCAACAATCATCACACCCGGTCACTTGTTAGCAAGTTCTTTGGAGGAAACAAACCATTTAAATGTCATTGCAAAATATGAGATTCAGTTGAATGTATAATTTTTATGCAACTTATTTGTATTCAGGCAATCATGCTTTTTACTTAATCGCGCTCAAGAAGGAACTTCTTAAGAAGAGAAAGTTATGTAATGCTGCGCAAAAAAAAAAAACGGCGAATTTTCGGCAGAAAAACTCTTCTTACAGGACCCGGGCAACGAAAATGTGGATAAATCCTGTTACTAAATTTAGAGGGTAAATTCCTCTAACAGGTGGTGTAGCCAGAATCCCTGTTTTGTAAGTCCTTGGTACCGAAAAATCGATTGACGGCCAAACGCGCGTCCGTCCGTGTGTCTGTGTACAACGATAGCTGCTAAACCGTTCAGCCGATTTTCTCCAAAATTAAATTTTATTTAATTTTAAACTTAAATTTGAAACTGATATTTTAATTTGGAGAGTACGTGACATGAAACCCCTAAGATATTTTCAAAATTATTTAAATAATGGAGCCATCGGTATGATGAAATTTTGTTTTTGGATAGTCTGCAGGACGTGTAAGAGAATGTCTCAGGTCTCATGCTCGTTAAAAACTCTAATTTTTCAAAAAAAGCAAAAATTAAAATTTTTTCGGCGTCTTCCTACGATTAAAATATTAAAGGTGGAGTTTTTTCGTTAAAAAAATTTTTCGTTAAATATAGACTAAGGCCATAAATAATTCTTCGAAAATTGGTGTATTTTTCGCGTAATTTTCTGTAAAATGTAGACAATTTTTAATTTTTGTTTAAACACATTTTTCTCAAAAACAGCACCATCGTTTCTGATAAAGTTTTGTTTGTGAAGTCTGAAGAGCGCGTAAGAAAATGTTGCAGATTTCATGTTGGTTAAAAACACTGATTTATACTCTCTGCTGATTTTTTTGAAAATTGAAAAAAACAACAAAAAAAACAACAAACTCGGTGTCTTTCTCCAACTGCAATTATGAAGTGACATTTTTTCATTGAAAAGGGGCCAACCAAAAGCAAATTTCCAAAATCTATAATAGTGAATTCTTCGAAAATATGAGTGTTTTTGGAGTAATTGAGTGTCGAAGTTCGTCGCCTGCTCTGAAAATCCTGCCCTTCTTTATCGTAATTTTGGAGGTGTTTTAAAGCAGTTGGATGCTACGTAACTTAAAATGTATATATTCTTTCATAATAAATTTTAATATTTATATTATATTTATGTTACTTGATTTAAAATTGTGTCCTTTAGTTGTTGTAAATGTGAAAATGATTAGATGAGCAGTGATTGTTGGTTGCTACTCATTGTTGTAACGACGCACAGATATCAAAAGGCGATATGACGGCTATTTTCCATTCGCGATCAAAAAAACCAATCCTTTTATACATTTGTAGAATGTTTCAATACCATAGTCTTTAATAATTACTATTCTATAGTTTTTTATCTATTTGTTTGTCAACATTTGATATCATTATCGTATTATTTATTAACTTTAAATTATTTTACTTTCTCGTATTCTACTTATTTTTCGCACCAAATATTCTACGATTTCAAATGAGTTTTACAAAAAATAATTCGGAGAGAAAGTACGGTGTGAATAATATTACATAACCATTAGTAATGGCGAGAAAGTAGTGCTCTTTTAGCACCCCTAGTTTTCTATGTGAGTCCCATGTTCAGCACTGATAGTAGTAGTGGCAATGAAGTGAACAGGTGCGCGGCCCGCGGTCAGCAACACCTGAATGTTGATTTACCTTGGAGGATGTGTAGAGTTTCCTGTTGAACTGGAATGTCGCGTTCGTTCGAATTTTGTTCAATGCATGTATGTAACATATTTGTGTTCAATAATATCATTTATTGTTCTGTGTCAAATTTCTTTTTAAATCTTTATCTGATAAGTACAATTAAGCATTTACTTCATAGTCGTAAGCGATAGTGTGTGCAGGCTTGTGCGACTCTCGGGCATTTAACTCAGTATTTATTGACCATTTCTTGGAAAAAAGTTTCGGGTTTCCTGTTCGTAACTGAAATATGTGTGATTGAATTGAATGTATCGAACCTAGAAAACAACTACTGTTACCTCCGAAACAGACATTTTTCGATATGAAAATATCTCTTTTACATAAATGTAGTAGTTGTAACTGTAGTAGCAGTAGTAGCTGCAGCAGTAGCAGCAGCGGTAGCAGTTGGATTAGTAGTATCAATAGTAGTCGTAGTGGTAGTAGTAGTAGTAGTGGTAGTGGTTGTGGTAGTAGTAGTAGTGGTAGTGGTTGTGGTAGTGGTGTAGTTGTAGTAGTAGTAGCAGTGGTTGTGGTAGTGATAGTAGATGTGGTAATAGTAGTAGTAGTAGTAGTAGTAGTAGTAGTAGTAGTAGTGGTTGGGTAGTGGTAGTAGTATGTATAGATCTCATGCGATCCCCCTAAGAGAATTTTCAAAGCAATGCGGATGGCAGCCTCTTTTTCATCCCAGGATTTCTTGGAATTCTACCTCCGACGCGGGTCGGAGGACTTTTTGAGCATGTGCGCCTCGCAGGCGGTCCACTGATGCACACGGGTTGTGAGTCTCAATTTTTCTGCCAGATGTCGGTCTCAGTTAACGAAGTCCGAGCTATCTGTTTATAAGAATGTAATATTGCGAGAGGGATTTTATTTTTCGGGCATCCACTGGGATCCTTTTACATGCCGCATGAGTTCCGCCCGTCGAAAATTCACGCACCTCGGCCGGGATCGAAATCGCGCACATTTTTCAATAAAAATGGAGAAACGAGTTATTCTTTCATTCGTCGAAGCGCAGCATGATTGTGTTCAATGACGCATTCATGGATTTCTCCGTATGATTTTCTTGTGGTACAGCCTGTGTGTTCTTAAAAATAACAATGTGTGCAGGCACCCGCGGCCATGGGGCGCCGGCGGCGGGCGTGTCTCGGCGGGGGCGGCGGCGGCGGCGCGGCGTGACAGCCTGTGCTCCACCACGTCGTCATCGGGCGGCTCCCGCACGCCCCACAACGGCAGCGCCAGCGGCGGGCCCTCCGACGACGGCGACGACGACGACCTCACGCTCAACGAGATGCTCGGCCGCTACGACGAGAGCTACGTCTACGAGAAGGTGAGTGCGAAGGGCCTCAGGTCCGAGGCACACGAAGAATGGCGACGTAATGGACACCAGTTATCAAAATTATTACGAAAATTCTATATCCTTGGCCATTTAGAAATTGAATATTACGAATAGAAATACAAAATGTTCATTTTTTTTCTACATGAGCATAGTATGTATAGGTTTCAACTATGGGACACACTCATATCTTGTAAACGGTTCATAAATCTAAATGCAGTTTTCGGCCGACAGTGCGGAATGATAGGACAAGTAATGTAGAGTGGTTGTAATATTTTTAAAATTTTGAGAAGTTTAATCATTTTTGATTTTTTTATTGGAAGTATATATTTTTCTCAGTAGCAATGGATGGGTCACAAAAGTAGAATACAATGATGTGTCATTTGATAAGTAGTTAAAGACAGTAGTTTGTCTATAAAATAATACTTGTGATGTGATTTTAAATTAAACCCAAACAAAATTTCCTTTAGTACCTCTGCCAACTATCGCCTTTGAAGAAGGTGCCTTTCACTTTCTGGCACCGAGACTCACGGGGAAGTGCGGTGGCAGTGCAATTTCAGCAATCCGTGGTCTTTAATAAAGGATGCAGGCAGTGCCGGAGCAAGGCAATTTTGGGCTTGGGGCAATATGCCCCTCCCCCGAAAAATTAAAAATGTTAAAACTGTATCAAGAAACTATAGGAGTTATTTTGATTCAAAAATAACAAAAATTAAAATGTTTAAGCTAGAAATAGTTTTTGAAAATTTATTTTAAATAGTAGTTTGAATAAAACTATTTACTGATCAAATAATGGAATTTTCAAGGAGATCTTAAAACGCTAAAAATATGTTTAGATAGTGTTTAATAAAATAACATGCATACATGAAATAATAAATATGAATTTCAGTAGAATTTATTTTATTGTTGGCTTAATTTGATTCATTTCATGTCCCACCTTATAAGTACAAGTAACTAGCGTATCCCGGCAGACGTCCAGCTCTCCATCTCCCTCCCTATTTTTCCTTGTGTGTCTCTCTCTCCGTCTCTCTCAACTCTCTCCGTCTCTCTCTCTCTCTGTCCATCTTTGGCTTATGTCTTTCCCTGTCTCTCTCTCTCCCTGCGTGTGTGTCTCTTTTTCTCTGTGTCTGTATCTCTTTCTCTCTGTGTGTCTCTCCCTCCCTCTCTCACGCCGTCTGTCCTGTCCTCCTCGGCCTCGGCCTGCGTCACACAACAGCCAACAATAATGAAGCCTCAGTTTGAATGAAATCTGAATAAAAATAAGCGCAATATTGTGCTCCAGCACCATTTAGTAGAGTTACAACAAACGTAACTGGACACAAACTTTCTGCATGAACAAACACGTAGATGCATCATCTTTCATGGAAATCGGGCACACGGTTCTACCGCTCCGCTGGCGAAATATACGTATGTTAGGAACCTGTCTCTTAGCGACAGGAGAAAAATTATGTACGTGGTGCATCTACCAGCATAGTATTTAATTTATTTATTTTCCGTATTTGTGTTGTTTAACAAACTGTGCAAGAACAGTTCGTTAGATCCTTAAGAAGAGACTGTAAATATTTCGTATTTATTCGCACACCCCTTCTGAGGAATAGATGTCGATAAGATGTCGTTGAATTCACTTTCATTAGTAAAGATGACTGTAATTAACTATTCAAGGTAAAAAATTAATTGAAAGTTGAAAATTAATTTTTTATGAAATATCAGACTACTGTACTAATACAATTACGCTAACGAGGTTTTCGAGTTCTAATTTCTTTTTCAATTTTTCAGGACACACATTTAAATCGGGGTATATATACGGTATTAACCCACCGTTGGGTGAATGGGGCCTCCAAAAGGGATGAACCGGGCCCGTTTCACATTTGGACAGATGTGTCACGTGAAACAGGTCTATGACCTCGCGCTGATTTGTAATTTTTACTTACTTTTTAAAAAAATATTTATTTTCGTTGGACAGACATGTCCTTCGAGGAGGTTAATTATTCAGTAGTTTTTTGCCTTTTGGGAATGGACATCTATAAGCAGTAGTTTTGCTAAAGTAAATGAAGCGAGGTTAAAGGCTGCTTCAGTTTTTGATCAATTGACAGTAATGGGAGTTTACGGTGGTTTGAATGGGACTTTTGGGTTACCTGGATTTAATACGTGGGTATGCAGAATTGCGACTTAGACTGAAGATTAAAAGCATGGGGAAGAGTGAAGGTATTGATAAAACTATTTGCACTTGAATTGAATGAAGGCACTTTTAATTCTCTGCGAATATGGATGTTGGCAATAAATCAGGGGGTATTTAAAGTTCTTCTTAAAAATATATTCTGAATGGATGTTAATCTTCGGAGTTTACTAATGGCAGCACATCGCCATACTGGACATGCATAAGTTATTGTTGGTAGAATTAAGGATTTAAGTAATATCAGTCGGCATTCAACAGTCAATGAAGAACAGGCGTTTATTAAAGGGAAGAGTTTCGATACTTTTGCAGACACTTTATTGGCTATTGCATTTGTGGGAGGTTTCCACGTTAATCTTTTGTCAAGAAACACTATTAAATATTTTATCGGTGAAGAGGTCTACGGAATGTATGTTTAGTGAAGATTTAATTCGGCAGGATTTTTGGAAAGCGCAACGTGAAGATTGGTTGCTTGGCATTTTAAGGGGTTTATTTTGATTCTCCGTTGTTGAGTCCAGTTAACATACCAGCTTCGTGTCTTTTGAATATCTAATAATCATCATAGATATTAATATATCATATCTAATAATTCCAATAAATATAGCTAAATGCCAAATGGGAGTGTGTCATATTTGATGCCATATGCTGTAAGTCCTTATTTTACTGGTTTCCGCCAGTGCGATTCCCTCCTACGGGAAAGATTACTTCTGAATTCGTCTTTCTTACCAGATCTACATTTCCTGACTTATTGATGCGAAACACATCACCCTCAAACGCCACAGCCGAAAGAAAAAAGATTCCAAGTATATCATGTATGTTATTTTCGGATGTAAAAAGCTTATCTCTTGTGGTTCATTTTCAGAATATGCGATTCATAGGTGTATACCCACGCGTTGTTTATAGTGTTTGCTCCGAGCTGTTTGTCAACTGTAAGAGCGCCCCTCTGCGACCCCCTTGCCGGCGTGTCTGAGGCATCCGGCCCCGAGACTTCCTGCCCCCGTCTGCGCGGAAGCTTCCATCACGCGCGAACGGCCCCTCTGCAGATGATCCCAATCGCCCCCTGCGTGCTCTGAGGCGCCCTCCTTGCTCGCCACGCCGTGGGCGGGGCCCCTCCTCCCCAGCGCACCTGTGATGGTTCGCTCATCCACTCCCCCTCTTGGAATCGTTCCATCGACCGTACGTGCGACCCTCCGCACTTTCACCGGCGAAACCGCTGCAGCTGCCTCAACTGTTCCCACGTGTCCAAATCGTCTTACAGCACCCGAGATCCTGTTGCTGAAGACGTTCTCCTCAATCAACGTCATTACCCCTCACATCGGGCATTGTCATCTTTCGTTTTCTTTCTCTCTTCTCTGCCTAATCTTCACTTTCAGTCTTTAAGTTCTTCGTTCTTCACAATTTTACTTGTTTGACGAATGTTTGATGAATATTTCCCTGGCACATTTCGTGACCCTTCTTTTGGAGACGAACAAATATTTTTACTTCCTGATCTTTATGAATTGCATCATCCCTCCAAATGATTGCGGACAATCAGAAGTCACGATCTCTACAAAATATCTTGATGTGCCTGTTATTTTGGCTTGCAGTGAATTTCTTTCACATTTCGCTCATCTTCTCTTTTCTCACATCACGCTCATTTGCAGTTACCTCCTCATCAGCGATTTACAGTATTGCACCCATCTTTTTTGACCGATCATATCATCGCCAATTTCCAATACTCTTTCCGACTCCCTTATCTAAAAGTCTGGCTGATTACCACCGTAAATGTTTCATTGTTGCATCACAAGAAAATTAACACATCTCAAAACGTGGTTTTTTACTTAAGCAAAGAAAATGGTCAATTTTTAGTGAAAAAAATTCAAAGAGGATAGTTTACAAGACAAATGTACAAAGTAAAACATGAGCCATCGATATAGATGTTTTAATAACATCGATGTTTTAAACATCGATATATTAAAGTCGATGTTTGTTGAACACCTGGATGAAAAATTCCCATACTCACAATTGTGTGAAAGTGAAAGTATGAAATAATAACTGATACAACTGTCTGTTTATGTGTTTAAAAGAAACAAACGCGATTTGAACTGCCTTCATCGAACAGACCTGGTATTTCCTTCACCTTTCATCATAATTCACACATGAAGAGGCGTTGTATAACTTTGTTTTCAGTAAAATTTTATTTTATAAAATAATATACATGTCCACTGTCAAGTTAATGTTATTATTATTATTATTATTATTATTATTAGTAGTAGTAGTAGTAGTAGTAGTAGTAGTAGTAGTAGTAGTAGTAGTAGTGGTACTGGTGGGTAAAACATAGCCACCTAAACTACCATACAACACAATTTTTCACAGAACATGGTAACTTTGAAGTATATACGTTTCGAATTGGCAAAACGTTAGATGACCTATGCCACTATTATCAGGCCAAAGATACTGCAGAACACTCTGCTTTTCGCTTCTGTAGATGGGAAAAACAAAGATTCGACCTACATTTACAACTGGGAGATGACCTAACGATAGAAAACATAATAACCAAAATGTCAGAAAGGAACAGCAACTGGAGCAAAATAAGCACGTATTTGTCTACTACCTTAAGCACAAAAGAAAAAGACGAAAGAGACTCACAAGGTACGCTCCTGAACCGCTAATCACGACGGTGGAGGGGGGACATAGGGAGCTATGAAGAAACAATACACGGAATAAAAGACAGCCCACTGCCTCCAACGTGATGCCAAACCGGCGGTTCCGAGGGCAGTAAGAAGGGCGGTTCGATATGGCCTCTTGTTCGATTAGCACCTGCGCCGGCTTCGCCAAAAAAGTAGTAGAGGTGGCACTGGTGGCGGTAGTGGTGGTGGAAGTGGTAGTGGTGGTAGTAGTGGTAGTAGTGGTAGTAGCAGTGGTAGTGGTAGTAGTAGAAGTATTTGTGCGCGAATTTAATGTTTGAGGTTACTAAACTATCTTTGAAACTCGATGGCGGCTACATCTGGGCGATGTAGTTTTAACATCACTATTTTAATTTTGATGTTTGGCTACATAGATGTTTTGTTTTCGACGTCTCATGAGAAACGCGTCACCGGCGCGGGAGGTGGCGCTCTGCATCCCGTGACGAGCGAGCTTTATCTCCCCGCGTCGAGAAACGAGCCCTGACGTCGCTTACTTTGAGGCTTAGGGAGTGCTAATATGGCCTTTGCTGCTGCAACCTGTGCATATTTCTTGCGTCTCGCCCTCCAGTGATAACTCTGCGAGCGGCCTTGAAGCTTAACAAAGCCTTTTATCCCGGCCTTCCGCGTGGAAATTTCGAGACGCGTATTCCCGCGCCCAACACCGCCCTGGAGTGCCGCTCCCACTTCACGGCAGCCACAGGCTTTCGCTCGAGGCGGCTCCTCGGCTGCGACGCGGAACTCTCGCCCGATTTCCTCGTTTCCATAAGCTGCGGCTTATCGAATACATTCCCGTGCACTGGGACTGGGAGTCGAGGTCATCTTTTAGTTGGCTATATTCTGAGTGCTATATTTCATTGCTAATAGAATTCGTAATTAACTGTAACCATCCGAAAGGGAAATGTTCTGATTTTCTATTTTAGTGGTTAAAATAATGAACCTAATTTTTATTTTTCCCTTCATAATACAAAATCAACAAATCTTTTTGTAGGTTTTGTCGAACAAGTACAAAGGAAGTACCACCAGTAAACGTAAAGGAGAAATTTTCCTCTTTATCTCAAAATGTTTGAAAAGTTTATTCTTCAATCAATGCATTTAAAACTAACGCTAGATTATTTTTTCTTTTGTTTTGTTAGTATAATTTGAATTATCGAATACATGAATATCACTTTTACTTCTAGCATCTTCATAGGTAATAGCTGAAAATTTCAGCCACAAATCATCAGATTTACACGTCACATACAACCATTATGTCGTTACATTCTGCATTTTTTCGCCTTCAATAATGTTAAAACTACTTCAAGTTTTTTTTTTCTTTTGGAAAGTACCCGATCGCACTTAAAATATTTATGTTTCCCTGAATATATCTAATGTCCTGGATAGTAAAATTTAATGATGAATGTATAATAATGTCGACGGTGTGTATGACAAAGCAACAGTAAAATAATTTGTGGAGGAAGTAGGTGACTTCAGGGAAACCTGGTGCTAATTCTCTTTTCCCAAAGTGCATTGTCGGTGTTAGAGTAGCAACAAACAACGAAAGAAAAGTGAAGGTTTACAAATTCATTTACAAATAATTTAAGTTACAGTGGCTCTCAAAATTAAACGTACACCATTTCTTTACGCCTTTAATGATACCATAATATTTTTTGTGATACCTACAAATAAGCGTTACACATAAATGAAAGTACACCATCAGAAGCGCGCTTCGAAACGTACCCATTGAAATGTTTTCTTGGGTACAAAGTTGTCACAAACAGTTTAGTTGATGGTCAGATTAGCGGAGAGTATCATCGATTTGAAAATAGCCCAAAAAGGGAAATGACGATGGAAGAACGAAGATTTATTGTGAATTTAGCCATGAGGGGAAGATCACTACGAGGTACAATTTAGCCATGAGGTATTGCGATGACAATGGAAAGACCTCATTTAACTAAAGTATGGTAGACCATTTCAAGTACGATGACAGATTAATTAATAAAATAGGATGATGCCGAAATCCAATACTCAACGAGATAAAAGAAATATTGTCAATAGCATCAGCAGGGCTTCTCACCAAAGTGTCGTTAACAGGGGGAACTGTATCTTCAAAACCTGTCGAAAGTCAAGTATTATTTTCAGCAAGACAACGCGTTCATCCGTACAGCGCATGTTGTGAAGTTATGGTTGTTATACAAATAGCCAAATGTACCAAAGCGCCTTGAAATGCTGCCACAATCGCCCGACTCTCCTATTGAAAATTATTGGCAGGCATTGGAAAAACATGTGCATACGAAGTTTCGAATAAAAAAGAGCTCTAGCGGGTCCTCTCTGAACAATGGAAGGGAATCGCGCCTGAATTTACAGGGCAGCTTGTAAGATTAATGCCAGTAAAGCTGGAGTTTGTTATTTGTGCTCCGTCCAAGCTCGTTGTTCCACAAAATTTTGGCTTAGTAGTTTTCGTTTTTCTCTAAGACAAATTGCCAGTGTACGTCAATTTTTATGGTGAATTGCATATGAATTAAGAGATTTTTATTTATTATTTATTCAGTTATTTCAAGATATTTTTGTAATGTACAAGTGAAGAAGGTTAATACCTAAATTTATTTTGTGCCTCTCAATTCTGCAATACGTTTTTATACAATTCTGTATTTTCTTCCACGGTCAATTTTGAGAGCCTCTGTATGTTGTTATCAATCATTGTAGAATTGAGAAACATTGAAAAAATTTGTTTCAAGGCTCACTTTCACGAGGATAGCAAATGATTTATGAGAGCTCTTCTTTTCCTAGATTTGTTGTTCAAAGAATGGCCGAGAATACACAAACATTTGCGTGTTAAAAAAAGCTGTCAGAGGCAGAACAGTTTTTTTGATACGACTAATATAAAGTGACATTTTTTGCAAGAAGGAAAGATTGACCCAGTGGCGTAATTCTACGAGTAAAATAAAATACTTTTACTACATGTGTTTTACACTATTTTTAAACAGCCTTACTGACTTTCATTTTAATTCAAGAATTCAAATTACTTAATTGTGTAGCATATTTCATTAAGATAGGTTGTAGCTCCTCACACAAAAGTATTTGGTTTCTTTGTTGCATTCACAGTTTTAACTAAACATTTGAGAATCATCTCACTGCTACCCCTAGTGCCAAAAATTGGACATATAGCACGTTGTGCATGGCCAGAAAGAAACTGCTTTGACTAGTGGCCGTCTCAAACATATAAAGAGAGGAGCAATTTCAATTTCGAATATTCTATAAAACATAATAATGATTTTTAAAAAGATTTTGCCATTTCTGAGAAATAGCAGTAATTTGTTGATTTTTGTTTCCCTGCAAAGTATTCTGAGAAATACATTGACATTCACATATTAATTACCTGTAATGGTTGCGTATGTAAAGCATTATGTTTACAATACAGATGTAACGTACGCAATTGATCGTAAAGAATTACTTCTGGAACTCATTGAATAACATAATTATTTTAAAGAATTTACGGAATGATTGAAAAATTATGTCTCTTACACACTGTTTTCAAGATTCCTATTCAATCTGTCAGGAGAGGTATCAATCCGGCACCAGACACGTACATTCGTCATTCTTGAAGGCAATTGGAAAACTGTTTGAGGTCCTCTATTTAATCAAATTCACTTTATAATGAACTAAGTATCAAAATAGATAACTGATGTTGATATTCATGTAAAATTGAAAAATGTGAGATTGAGGATATACTCGTTGGGCATGCTCTTACATCTAACAGTAAATAGTTCTCTTACAAAACGGGTTACAGAAAATTCACCATTTATAGATTATCGAGCACCCGAGTACCAAAGCGTGGAGTCGGGGTGACGGCTTGCAGCCTGTGGGAGTTGGGTTTCTAGTTCCGTACATTCAATGTGGGAATTGTTGGAGAAAAATAGGTTCGCGGCAGATTTCCTCAGGGTTCTCCCGTTTCTTCCTCCTCTCATTCCATCTCCTTACTGCTTAGTATTCACTACATCAGATGCATCTACATCTGGTACATTCAGTCATCGTGCTCATCGTTTGTCAAAGCATTTATGGTAAAAGAGAGTCAACGACATTCTCGTGGCTGCGGGACAACTTTTGCATCGTTTGGCAATGTCAAGCCAAACAGCGAATGCAGATATTGTTTTATCGGTGATATGTCGTTGGCAGCGTTCCAAATAAAAGTATTAAAGTCGTTGTTTTGGCCATCATTATTATTTAATGCAAGAGCAGCTTTCGTCGCCAGTTACCTGCTGATTGCAAGCTAGCAGTTTTCTAGCTTCCGAACAGTAGGTAACTGACGATGGGTAAACCATCAAATGCCGATCTCATATTAAATAATAATGCTGTCCAAGAGACCCCTCTAATTGTTTTATTAGCGAACATAAAGCCATCTCCTAAGGATGCCCCTCCTTGCGCGCCTGTCGTTAGGAAACGGACATCCTGAGCGACAGCGACCCCACGGATTGCGACGAGGAGTACGGCGACGAGGAGGCGGCGGACGCGGACGACGACCCGGAGGCCCCCGGGCGCGCGGGTGGCGACGAGGAGGACGTGGACGACTTCGACTTCATCGACACGGGCGCGTGCGCGGGCGCGGCGGACGGGCCCGGCGCGGGCGCGGGCGACGGCGTCGCGCCGCCCAACCGCGGCCACTGCACGT